AACAAAAGGACCGGCATTGAGGTAAATGTGTCTCTGAGCCATCACAAAGGGGTCGTGTGTGGCTTGTGTAAGATCCCGCAGAGCCACAATAGTTCATCCAGGATTGCTGGGGAATGTATCGTGTAGGCTCTCTTGAAGTAATAGCCGAGGTTCATACAATGCTGCGAAGATTCGGCCTCAATCTCTGTGACCTCGTAGTTCTTTCTAGACAACTCACTGCCAAAACATTTACTAGAGATTGTACACCATGCGACTAACTTCAAGCTGGGACTTGACTGCGTCATGGCGTGCCTTTAGGCTTACGTTGGAGCTCTCAGGCCAAAATCAAGAGTATGAAAGGAATACTTACACGGTACTTGAGAAAGAGCCGCAAAAGGTAGACTGGGTCAAACGCTATCTTATGCAGTGAGAGATAGAATGTGAGTAAGCCGCATGGCCCTTCGAGTAATTGTTCCGTGCTACCTTCTTGTTCCAGAAGCCAAGGGTTAGTAGTTGTGAAAGGGTCACGCAGCATAGCTTTGGAAGGGTTCTCAGCCGCCACATGCGGGGACCGCATCTCCGCAGGGCAAAGAACAGAAATCGATGAGGCTCTTGTCAATACTTTGACCCCTCCTACGCCAGTTGCAAATAGCCGCTATGGATGAATGCAGCATCATCTTTCGTATGGAGGCATCTCGAATCCTAAGTACCATTAGGAGAAGATGATGCAATCATGCAACCAACGACAGATATGGCTTCGGTATCAGGTCATGGCTCACTGCAAAAGGTCCTGACGATCCTGCGAAAGCCATATTACCCATACCTTTCCTAAAAGAGTAGAGTAACGACTCTTTCTTACCTCGATTCTAAGCTTACGGGCCTGTATATCTTGAGGCAATTTGGAATGTGTTGAGCACGCATTACACTAGATAGCGGCTGACATTCAAAAGCTGTAGAATATGAAACCTCTCATGTTAGGGCTGGAGGTGTTGGTAGTGGGGGGTGTTGATAAGAGAAACATCGTTAGAGGTCGAGGTCGTTGTGGATGCTGGAGTGGAGAGAGTGAGGCTCGACGAGCTGGGAGTCCTGCCCACGGGAGTGGTTTGGGACCCAGACGCCTCCAGAAATTAGTGTAACGGAGTCGGTTGTTGGTCTGATCGAAGCAACGTCAATGATGAGCATATGGACAGCCTTACCAACTACAGGGGGTGCTGGGGACCATTTGCAGCGGCGTGCTTGCCCAAAGGTCTTGTCTTATTCACGAATCCGGTCAATACCTAAATGTTAATACAAGTGAAATATTAGAAGCATTCTTTGCCATGAGTGGAGAACATCTACATTAGTATCGTCGATTTCATTGCCATAGGCAAATACATGGATTGGTGAGATGATGGCAGCTACTGCCAGGGTAGCGAGAATGACAGCGAGAGCATCACAGACCATGGAAATTGATGCGAATGGCTACGTGTGTGCTTAAGTTTGTATTCAGTATAAGGTACCGAAGAGACTGGAAGCTGAACGCGCAGGTGGATACTCAATAGACGATTAAAGCAAAAGGGCTGGGAATAAGTAATTGTGTGCTGGAGGATAGATGGGAGATGACATCGTTGTAGGGGTCTTTGGGTCTAGACATTTATGTCATTTCTGTTCACTAAAATAAGTTATATGTTAACAGAGATATGAACCAAGAAAGTTGAAGGTTTCAACACAAATACGTGCAAGAAGCTTTCCGAAGCCGTCAAAGGGCAAGCTTGATACGGTCTGCCGAGTGGACTCGCCACCTGCGCCCGGCTTCGGACATTAATTCCAAAATCAAGTCAAACCAGATAGGAAGCTCCAAAAGAAATGCTTGTCCCCGTATAGAATTAGCAGTGGAGAAATGTACTCACGCGGGACTGGCTGTTCTTCGAGCTGAAGAATGAAGAAGACTACCAATGATCCGGACTGAGCCGTCAGTCTGAATGATTTGACAAGAGCCTTTGCGAAGGAGCGTTTATGACCATCCAGAGATCAACTTTATGATTGTGGTATGTTCTAAGTCAAACTAGATTGCTGCTAAAGAAAAAGCAAAAGCATCACTAGAAGAAGTAAAAAAGAAAATCAAAGCTTTTTGTGCAAGCGTGACGATGTACAAAAGGCTGTAGACACCAAGGCAGTGAGCGCAAGCGCAAACCATCTTCCCTTCTTTACATGTTTGCGACAACGCCCACACCCCCGAGCAGGGCTCCCAAAGCAATTGCAGCAGTTTCCTTCGGTCCAGCAGCACGGCTACTGGTAGTCTTGTGGCTAGTAGTGGCGGCGGCTGAAGCGGTTTTACTGGCTGCAGAGTGGGTCGTTGAGTGTTTGGACGACTGGGCCTAAGTATTTTTGTTAGAATTGAAGCCGTCGTTGGGGTTCGTGAACATTTCATACCAAGGCCGACGAGGCCAAGAAAAGGCAGATGGCGGCGGAGAAACGCATTTTGAGGGTTGGATCTGAGTAGTGTGGTATTTCGTAGAGACTTGCTATGTTTTTGAAATTGTTGAAGATGTTCTTGGAGATGATTTCGGAGAATGTTGTTGCTGGATAGTGAGGACTGAGGTAGTTGACACGGGAAGGCGTGTGACTCTTATACTTTGGAGACGCTGGTGCTTCCGAGATGATCTGCCTGCCAACATACGCTCTTCTCTGGCAACTTCACAGGCTTAGCCGTATGGGGAAAGTTTCAAAACACTAGTAACGAAATATTTGTACATCTCGATGGGTGAGAGGGTTAAAATTGTCGTGCTGCAGGTCTAGATGCGGGTTCGAGATTGCTTCAGCCGAAGGGATGGTACTGCACGGAGACCATGCCAAAGAAATGATTGAAACACAGCCCGCCGGAAATATTAATAGAACACTAAAAACACAGCACCGCTGTAGATACGAGAGGGTCGGCCCACAACGGTTGCGGTCTTGTAAATGACTGAGATCTTCCTCAAGTTATTGTGCGTAAACATGGGAGCCTTGGGAAAGAAGGTGATTGGCTGTACCGTAGCTGGCTCGAAACAGAAGCTTTCGGCCGACAAGGGCCAACCTAGACTAAAACCCCCCACGCTCCAGATGTTCGTCGACATCACCCGCTCCCCCAGTTTCGCCAAACTAGCATCATACAAATTGCGCCAGACAAGACGCGCTGATCAAATAGCTTTTTTTTGACTTGATGATCAGACAATCGGTAGTCCTAGAGGCGCCATCTTGGACAGCTCCCACACTGCTCTTACACAGCGGCAGCTCGATAACCGCAGATCCGTCCGCCTTAACTTCCGGTCGATGTTGCTCTCATCCCATATCGGAAAATAGGCTTTACCATTGAATTCGGCATCCTCGGATGTAAAGCTATCGCTACTTGTGCACTACATAGGCATCCATAGTTGACAATGCGATGCTTGTCGATGCTGAGATCAACTACAGACAGGGGAAGTGAGACGAAAATGATGCAAGAAAACCTAGCGGATTACCAAATGGGTTAGAAGAAGGGCGGTTGTCTAGCTGCTTTAACAGTGGAACCTAGAACTGGAAGTGGGCGAGATGCATTGGAAACAAAGACGTCCAAACTCGGACACCGTCCGTGGCCCGCGGGTGCCGTTCCCGTCCGCCGCGGGCATCACTATGGTTGATCAAGGACTCCCTGTCTCCAGGAATATTACTACACCATATTGGCCCTTCAGCTGCGTAGGGTGCAGCTCTAGTATAACATGAACGTAAACATTCATCACTCAATGCTCCCGTCAACTCTGCTAAAGTATGCTATTACACAGCTGTTCGTGTCATTGACGGTATCCCGCTGGAATTCCTGGCAGCCAAAATTGCTTCGCATTCCCCCCTTTCCGGCAGGCTCTAATCAAGTGCAGACCTACTCAGAACTACCTGTCGCATCATCCCATGTTTCCTTTAAGATGCTGCACGTGGCTGACCCACTCCCGGGTATCTGACATGTTTCCGCTAACTGAACATGCTTGGCAATGAGTGTCGCAGGGGTCCCCACTGAATGCTCAGTTCATTGTGGACTAAAAGCGGTGCTACCCTGACAACACCTTCGCCCTTGCGACCGGCCGAGGAGTCGCTTCACCATGAAATAGAAAGATGGCTGTGCTTCACTAGTTGAACTATTGACGACCGGGTTGGTTCCGCCTTGAAGTAGATAAATCTATCTATGCCTCGTTTTTCGGTTTGTCGATACAAGCTGCATTCCACCTCTTCAAGTTATCTTGATTTAGGTGTGTGCCCGGGAGAAAATCGGGAACATGAATTACATGATGTTACGCCTGTTCTTTTGAAAGATATGTTGCCTCTTGAGGAGCGTCAGAAGTTCTGTAAACTTGCACACCTCTACATCAAAGAATAGATGCGCCTCCAGGCCAGAGGTACAGGGACCTTCAAACTTTCAGGGATTAATGCATCACTGGAATGCACCCAATGCAGGCCAAATACTGTCTGAGGTCTCGAATTATTCAACTCTATGTTTATTCTAAGTTTGTGATCGCAAGTGCACATAGGCAGTCGGCGGAGCCTTGTCTCAACCGGCCAACTGCTCCGGCTTCGGCGCTCCGGAGCCGGCTCTGCTTTCAAAGCACCCTAGAATCGTAAGATGCTCTGTAAGCATGGACATGTAAGCACATATGACCCCGCAAACCTCATTAACGCGATCACTTGTGTGCATGACTTTATCGGGATTATTTGTGATGTCAATTGGATCAGACGCCTAACCGACTCGGCTTGTATCGGACATCCCAATGCAGTAATCCTGCTAGAGGAAGATCTTTGGCCCAAAGACCCCCGCATCGTCTCAACCACATGCGCTGAGCAAAGACGTCATTGGTGCAACGAATTTGAATTCGAGACGATGATGGTAACGCTGAGTAACAATCGTTCATGAGCCAAGATTCCGGCCAAGATATAATGCGGCCGTCTGCCCGCTGACTGCAGTCGGTCTAGATAAGATACGCCCTCACCTCCAAGCTGTACTCCTCATGTCAGCCTGAGACATCGTCAAATCCACCATGTCATCCAAGCTTTTGCCAGTAATCGAGCGGCTCCCCAATGTCTCGGGCACCCCGGAATTTGAGGCTGCCCACGCGGCCATTCTAGAAGAGTTCGCTGCAAAAGTCCCTAAAGAACTGCACATCTCACCGGCCGTCATCGCCAGCCCACCGAAGAACGTCGTCGCCCTGCCGAGAGAGTGCGGCATTCTATCGTCCGCAGAGATTGACATCACCGAAAACTACGATGCCGTCGCGTTGGCCGAAGCCATCGCAGCCAAGAAGTTCACGGCCATGGCCGTTGCCTCGGCCTACTCGAAGAGGGCAATCGTCGCGCACCAGCTTACCTGCTGCTTGTCAGAATGGTTCATGGATGAGGCTCTGGAGCAGGCCAAGGCCCTAGACGATTACTTGGAGAGGACGGGCAAGACGGTTGGACCACTCCACGGTGTGCCGATTGCCGTCAAGGAGATGATCCCACTGGCAGGTCACTACACATCTCTTGGCTTCATCGTTACGCGTCACAAAGCCGAGAAGGATTGCCAGATGATCTCCATTCTGCGCAAGGCGGGAGCCGTGTTCCACTGCAAGACGCTCCAGCCCCAGGGTATCATGCATCTAGAGACGGTGTCCCCTCTCGGTCGCACTCTCAACCCGCACAACATCGACCTGTCAGCCGGCGGGTCGACTGGTGGCGGAGCCGCATTGGTGACTCTGCGGGGGAGCCCGCTGGCTATCGGTACAGACATTGGGGGCAGCATCAGAACCCCAGCCGCTTTCTGCGGTATCTACGGCTTCAAGGCTACTTCCTACTATCTCCCTATGAGGGACTTCACTGGGGACTACGGTTATGCCGGTGAACTCAATGTGCTTGGTTCGACTGGTCCGTTGGCTACATCGCTCAGGGACATGGACTTATTTGTGTCGGTGTTGAAAGACGCCGACCCCCACTTGGAAGACCCCAGACTGATTCCAATCCCATGGACTGGGTTGGGGACAACACAAAAGACGAAACCTTTGAAAGTTGGTTTCATGATGAACGACGGAGTTGTGGTGCCGCAGCCTCCGGTTACCCGCGCCTTGAACTGGGCCCGTAAGCAGCTAGCCAAATCTCCCGCGTTTGAAATCAAAGACTTCGTCCCCTTCAGAGCCGCCGATGCTATGGATAGCGTCCAGCGCATCTTTGTTCCGGATGGTGGCAAGATGATCAAGGGAGCAATGGCTGCCACGGGCGAGCCCGCAATGCTACTGACCAAGGGGACCCTTGAAGCCGCAGAAGCCATGAACCAGGACCTTGATGCCGCCGGCATTCTCCAGCAACGGGTTTCTCGGGACAAGTTCAGGTGCGAGTTCGCCGAGCACTGGATGGCACAGGATGTCGATGTCCTGATCAGTCCGGCCTATGTGGGACCCGCATGCCCGCATGATGGCGCCTTGTTTTGGAATTATGAGTCGTTCTGGAACTACGTCGACTATCCTGGTGTTGTGGTACCTACGCCGGTCAAGGCGTTGAAGAAAGGAGAGGAAGGGTATGCACCAGCTGACGCAACTCCCCTGAGTGAGGATTGTAAGCGGGCGAGAAAGTTCTGGGAGGAGGGGGACTATGAGGGTGCCCCGATCGACATTCAGATCATTGCCCGCAAATACTGTGATAATGAGTTATTTGCTGCCTTGAGCGTGCTTCGGGGTCCTCTCGCGATCTGAAGCTACACGTGGATTAACCAACATGACCTCGTATGAATGGACATAGAAATAGTGTTCAAAAAAGAAAAAACCCAATCATCTCCTCTCAACCCCGTTTATCAAAATCTTGCCAGGATCACTCTCATGTTAGTCGGAAAAGGTCTGAACGAAGAATCACAGGCACACGATGTGAGAGCGGATGGTCTTGAGGAGAGTTTATTATGTCAGTGGCCCAATGCTACATGGTTCATGCATGATGCCTGTCTAATTTGAGTCTAACGAGGTGGGAGAGCCGCACCGAAACCACATCATCACGCTTCTTCAACGTCTGATCAACTGTAAAAACACATAGGCCTTCGGCCTGGGTATCAAGCTTCCCTCCGCTGCTGCATTACATCCTCCGACTTACTGCACCAAGTTTCAGAAGCCTCTCACTTCTCGTTTCTGACCTGTTCCTCATCGGATCGGAGCGTCAGCTCGGTGCTTGCTGAACGCGGAGGGATCGGAAGGTCTTGTGCCTGCTCCTGCTCCTGTGCCGGGGCCTTGACGGCGGCCGCACCGGCCATCTTGCCTGCATCCGCACAGCGCTTGCGGATGGAGAAAACGGCCAAGACGTGGCCAGCGATCCACCAGGCAAAGAGAACCGGTAGAGCAACGCGTGTCTGGTCAGCGCATCCAGACCAGGCCAACACCATCATCGAGTAGGCCTCGTGCGCTGGCAGCGCGTAGCCGATACGATAGAAGCCGGGCATAAGCTCGAATGGGGCGACGGTGCTTGCAATGTTGGTGATGATCCAGGTCAGGACGAAGAAGGGCATGAACTGCATGGGCACGAAGGATCCGACGAACGACTCGAGAACCTGCCACTGAACATCCATGTACAGCCAGAAAACGAGCAGGGTCTTGCCGAACTGGAAGCTGCCGACGTCCCATGACTCGCGGAAGGCCCAGAGGTAGCCAGAGACGGTGAGTGCGGTGAGGAAACCGTAGATCTTGCCGATGCCGAAGCGCATCAGCCAGACATCGCGAACACGAGCCTTGGCCAGGATGCCAGTGCTCAGGCCGATGCCGTTAAGTGCCAGGATGTAGAAGAACTGAGCCAAGGTTGGGATGATGATGTTGACGGTGTTGAAGAAAACGCGAGGGCCCTGGGTAGTGGGCTGGATGAGGTCTGCAGTCGACTGGATGGGGTTGAGGTAGGCGGCAATGGCGGCCGGGTTGCTGACGTTCAGAGATCGTAGTGCGGCGGTGCCGTTGGGAGTCTGGTAGTAGAAGCTCCGCGCCATGCCAACCACCTTGACGATGTTCGAGGCAATGAGCGAGTCCGCCTGTGCCGGGTACCGAGCCTGGTTGTACGTGTATGTAATCGAGTCGGCGGGGTTGTAGCTTGTGGACGTGCCGTTGATGGCGCTAGCGAGCTTCGCGGATGCGCCCGAGGAGACGTAGATCGCGCCCCAGTAGTCTCCCTTGCAGACCGCGTTCCTTACTGATGCGGGAGTTGAGTACTCGGATACGGAGCCGAACTCGATGGTGGGGAAGTTGGCGGCTTGGAGGCTTTGCGATGCCTTTGAGACGGCGGTGCCGATGGCGCCCTCATCGTAGTCGACGGCGAGGATCTTGATGGCATGAGCACGCTTGGCTTGATCGAAGCTGGTGCCGAAAAGGTATGACATATTCGCGAGAACTAGGAGGAGGAGCATGACAGAGGACATGACCATAGGGATCATGGCCCCTTTTCGTTGCGCTGCAGGCCATTGGAAAAACGGCGTCCTCGCCGGCAACGGCTGTGTTGACATGGCGAGATGTGTGTTGCTGGGCTGAGTTTAGTCACGAAGCGCTCGAAGGTAGGTGGTGTTATGTTGTTCCTTGATGCAGAGGCTTAATAGACTCTATCACTTTTTGATGCGGAGTGAGTTGATGAAGTCGGCGAAGTACCGGATGACAGAGCAGATCTAATCGATGGGGTGATTCGTGCTCTTAAGAGATCTTGCGAAAAGAAAGGTCCCACGTCTGTCTCCATCCCGGTGTGGTGGTCCCTAGATAAAAAGTACCCAATTAAGTGTGATAACGAAAAACGCGGAGGCCGGCCGAGCTGGCGGTCGGTCCACGGGGACGATAGCTCTTCCATCGGAAACGGGAACATTTTAGGGCACATTCGTCATCAACCCGGGCTGCTGCCTGTCACCGTCCAAGGAATGTGGTTGAGCATTATCGAATATTCTTCGCTGCTCGCATATCTCGGACTTTACGTCCGAGGACGTTGGCCGAAGCCCTCGTGGCCCCCTTTTGCGACCTTGGGCAAGGAAGAATCCGCAGCGAGAAGTGGGCAGGTGTGGTCGAAAAGTCTTCCGATGCGTCGACGGGTCGACTAGGGGCCCCTAGTCCTTGTTCGTTGGTGAAGGGTACGGCGCCACACGGCGGATCGGTGCTTGTGTTCGCCGATTGTCCGGACATATTTCATTAGCTACTCGCCGTGCCCCCCGATTCTTCTCCCCTTTTCTTACTGCTCAGCTGTCCCTTTCTTAACACCGGCCTCCCTCACGAATTAATCAGCCGCTAGCATCACTGTCACAATTGACAGTTGATTGGACCCGCAATCGCTCGGAGAGCGGATGCTTTCTCCAGATCATGAAGCTGCAAGTGTCGTCTGAATTTAGATTAACCTTAAGTCCGTTGGCTTCTCCTCGTCATTATTTGCTTCATCTCGAGCCCAATGCTTGTTACTTTTCAGCCTCTGCCGTTGGCCTTCGTGATACTTGCTCAAACAGAGCTAGAACAGAGAGACGAATGAACCAAGACGCACTCACCTGCTCTCGACACGCATCGGAGTAGACAACATCAAATGCGCCCGAGACAGAGCCTGGATTACAAACAGACACACGGAATGCTCCCCCTTGCCTTTCCCACACCTTTCTTCCGGCCCCGATTCATTGGACTCGGTTTCGCGATGATGCCATCGTCTTCATCCAATTCGGGTGCCTGATGATAAGTCGGTCCCGAAAGATGGGTTGGCTTCAGCGGTGTGGCCCGCCGAAGAACGTTTTCGGGCCTGCAAAAAAAGCCGACCGAACGCATGAACAAGGTTGAGCCACTATCCCGCCCGGCGTTAAGCACCACAGCCACCCGGCCTGAATTTCAGATCCTCCCCCGTGAAAAGACGGGACACGGCCAACGGAGCAAGAGAGAGGGTTAAAGGATTTGCTAATCCGCAACACGAAGTTCATGCAGCTGGTGAATTTCCACTTTCCTAATCTTGACTCGTCCCACCGGTCTAAGAGCGGCCAGCCGCAAGCAGAAACCGGGATCAATGAGTCGACTTGACACATTGGTCAGGTTTGGCGATTCTCGCCGTGGAAGCTCCACGGCAACCAAGCAAACTCCGGCCGAGAAGTGTGCCCGGTCAGAAGCTCAATACCGGTCGCCCGTGATCGCCGCAGATCATCCGATCAGCCCTACCGAATTAAATTATTCGAAGTGTTCGTTCACCCGCAGTCTTGCATAGATTCATCACTTTCGACGCCTTCCAAGAATTACCCAGTTGCAACAATAACCAGCTTTTGTTATTAGGTACACACCTAGGCTATTAGCAGCACCAGCGAAATGTTAGTAGTCACAACGCCGTAAGCCTACATAGACGACAACCTGTTCCCCTTGCGAAGAAGCTTGGGGCGTTCCCTTGATCTCTGCAAGCACACGCAGTCGACTTCCTCCCCAGTGACAAGCCATGTTACACCAGGATACCCCCAAAAACGCCAATCAATTTGCAGCCAAAGTAGCTCATAAACGACTCATATGCACTTTCTGTACTCATTCACCCTCAAGACTCAACTAACCAAACAGAGGTAAAACCAAAATCCATCATCGCCACGTGTCCCAGCGACTTCGTGTTACCAGAAAAAACGACAAACACCTTGCTTCATCACTGACTCAATTTTTTCAAAAACGTACCAGCTGAAACATACCTAACCGTCCAAATCACTGTGGCATCAACCAGAAAAGCTCCTCGGCATCTCGAATAGCGTCGCCAACGTCATTCCCAATAGCCAAGTGTGGCTGCACGTGGGTTCGTCGAAAGTAATATTCAGAGTTGTGCCCCGACACATTGTACGTCATCCGTCCATCCACGAATCGGCGAATATTCTTCCAGTCAGCCAGGCAAACCCAGCAAAACTCCATTTTGCACGATTTGCACGTCATGTGGAAGCATCCGCCGTTCTTCTCCACGGGGATCTGGCAGCCCGGGCACGGTTTGGCATGCTCCAGCAGCCAGCGGTCTGTTTCTGGATCTCGTCCTCCCACAAGGTCGTTGGCTACGTCGTATTCTTCGCAGGTTTGACCGAAGTGCCAGACTCGGCCGTGAAGGAAACACATTGGTAAACCGCAGGCGTTGCATTCGATGAAGAATTTATACTCTGATGGGCAGCCTTCAAGGTCGTTATCCTGACCGGCACTGCAGTGCTCGTTGACACACCATCGAAAGCACGGCATGGTGTCCAAGCCTTTCTGGAGCTGCATTTTGTCATAACGCGCAAATGTGTCTGGCCGTGCAACTGCTTCGACTTGTGAAGGAGTCAATATGTTTTTGCAGCCCTCGTCAGGACAAGTTACCTCCTGGTTATCATCTAGTTTTGCCGCAGTATTGAAGTCATGGCATCGGAAGCAGCAATTGAGTTTGTGTTTAGAGTGGCAGTCAAGAAAGACGCTGCGAGGCGGGAACACCGACTTTCCAGTGCGCGGAGTTCGTTGGGTGTCCCCGAACATATAGAAGACGACATTCAAGACCTCGCCGCTGGAGGTTTCCATGAATTCTCCGTCGCAGACCACGCATGGCTTCCGCCTTACCTTGTCTTTGAATAAACCTAGAAACACAGGTATCGGCTCCCCACCACGAAACGAAAACCGGGCTACGTGCATCATGGTGCCACGCGGCCACGTCCCATCACATGGCCACATGTGTCCTGCTAGGGCGAGTTGTTTGTGAAAGTCGCTGCCAGCTTTGCCCTGCCATTCATTCATATCGGGGATCTTGTTGTGAATAGACCGTTGAGCTTCAAATGCATAACGAAAGCGTGTAATTGAGCCGATAAGGGTTCTTTTTTTGATGCCACACTCAAGTAGGAACTCAATCAACCTCTCGAGATCTAGACACAGCCGCCGAGCTTCGCAAGAACGGGCCGGACAGCTAATCCGGATGCCATATCCCGACTCTTGGGGCCGCCAAATTTCATCCCATAATCCATCGCTAATGGTGGAGAGGATGCAGTCAGTGCAGAAGATGTTCTGGCAGCAAGACGTTTGGAGAACAGGAACGCGCGCGATGTTGGTATGCGACTTTGTTACTTCCTTGTCGCTCGCAAAGTAGCCCCATCTTCCGCATCTGACACAGACCTAGCGATACGAGGTGGGCTGAGAGAGACCAAAGGTTCTCATGGAGTCGCTTTCGCTCTTGGGAGACGCTTGTTCTGGCAAAGACATAGTTGGATGGGCTTGTGTCTGACAAAGAGGGGTGTAGAATAATGCTGTTCGTAGATGGGACTTAACCATGAGGTGCGAAGAGCCGCGAGATTTATATGCGAATACATTTTGTTGGATTACGTTCTGAATACATGCTACGATCGTAAGTTTAATCGAAAGAAAAGGTCGATTCGAGTCAATACCTAGGTCACAGCAGAGTCAACGGGCCACGGTCGCGGGTCAGTCAGAGCATCGTGAAACTCCTCACATGTTTGTCAAAGATTTCAATTATTTGTTTCATTGCAACGGGCCTTTGAGTTCTTTCGTATTCTTCAATAAGAGTCACGATGAGTCATTTTGTCTTTGTCCAAATGAAGTTTCATTTCCCATACAAACCGCTCAAGGTTCATGGATGCTGGAGACCAAAGCACAATTGACTCGAAGGGAACAAGTAACCATCTGTCAACTGCGCATCGCAAATGTGATTTGGCCAAAGGCCCCAGTCAACTCCATGTCGTCGCAGATAGAACAGCATGAAGTTAAAGTCATTGACCATGAGCCCTCGAGATGACTGACCACTTTACCAAATCCTGTGAAACAATAGGGCGGCAGAACACTTCGCTGTACAAATGTCCCTGAAGTGAAAAAGTCTTTTATCGGCTACTCACAAGAGACTCACTGTATCGCATTGCGCAACAGAAGCACTTGATCTGAAATCGTATCCATCATGATTGCAGCAACTTAAGGGGCACGAGCGGAGTCATCCCCGGGGAACGAGTGGGTTCAATCGGCATCGACATCCGATCGACAAACGTGTGGTCCAAAAAGCTTAGCCATCACTTTTTACTCCTCACCACCCATGCTGGGCCACTACAGCAGGCTAATCCCGTTCTTGGCATCTGGGCCGCCAAGCTAACTGACAACTTGAATGCTCCGTGGCCCGGGCCTTTGGGCCAGAGAACCCGCTGAATGTACTTGAAACTAAGCCTCATTTTGTGTTGTTTCACCACGGACCTAGGCCGACAGGGGCAGCCCAAGAAGAAACGAACAATTCTAACGAGCGCCTCGCATTTTCGAGAAACAGCTGGACGCGCAAGTCACATTTGAGTTTTTTGAGGATTCGTCATGTCATGATCGCGAGATCTGAGCTGCACACGCGTCCAACGTTTTCCTACTGAATTGGGACAATCATGGTGGCGAAGTGAATTGGACAGAATAATTGAAATCCACAAATGAGATGAAAGTTATATACGATGGAATAATATGTACGAAGAATATTGTAAGGTGCCGGAGTATGTTCAATGGGGCTCTGCCTCTCCAAATGCCAGCCCGATAACCCAATCCTGATTGAGAGCCCTTATGGTTTTTGTTGTTTTTACATGTAAGAAGCATCGTAGTAACCAGCACTGGCGTAGCTGGAGCCGAGGATGCTGGAGATGGCGACAGCGGAGCTGAGCTTCTTGGAGAAGGTGGCGCGGGATCCCTGGGAGCCGATGCCAGTGTCGCTGTACTCGCCGAACAAGACATTGCCGGTGCGGGCATCGCTGGTGCTCCAGACAGACCAGCCCTTGGAGTTGATGATGCCAGTCATGGTGGTCTTCTGGTAGACGACCTGAGCGTACGCACCCCAAGGACGGCCGAGGTAGAAAGCACCATCGGGAACAGTGGCACCGGAGGCAGCGGCAACGGTGCAGCTGTTGAAGACATATTCGGACTTGGCAGAGGAGCTGGCGGCGCCGTTGGCTGCGAAATGTTAGCAAATTTTCATCAGTATCATGAGTTGGTATCCAAGTCTTACCAGTGAAGTAGCCAAGTTTGGCAGAGACGGCACGGAGATCACACTTCTCGAACCAAGCCATGGACTTCTGGCCGAAAATGACATCGGTAGCACCCTGAATGAGGCACTTGGAGTACAGCTGGTTGCCCTGCTGGGTGAGAATAGTGTCCTGGAATCCGGTGAACTGGCATCCGTAGAAACCGCTGTCGGCGTAGGAGCTCAGGGCGATGGCCTGGCTACCCTGGCCGTAGGCGTTGACGACGTTGACGTTGTACAACTTGAAGTTCTTGGCCTTGACGCGCAGGGTGCCGGTCTCGTCATCCGTAAGGCCATCAGCCTGGCTCTTCTTGGCGGTGATGGTCACCTTGTTGCCGGAGTAGCTTGACGTGTCGGCGGTGTAGCCGTAGATGGTAAGCTGAGCCGTGCGGGCAGGTACCAGGACCTGCTCGCTGTAGGTCCCCTGGTCGATAAAGATGCACTGCTTGCTGGAAGAGGTCGTGGAGAGGGAGTCGACGGCCTTCTGGATGGTGCTGAACTGGCCGCTGCTAGGGGACTTCTTGACGACAACGCAGCCCGAGGGGGCGGAGGTGCGGCTGGCGGCCAGCGCCGCCGTGACGAAGGTGAGGACGGTGAAAAAGGACTTCATATTGGGCAAAAAACAAAAGAATGTAAGTGTTCGTCGGTTCGTCTCAAATCTGATCCGAACTTGGAGAATGATCTACCGGTTACATTGATCGAGGCTTGGCGTCCTTTATGTATTTCTCCTTTAAGGGTCCACAAGGCTCTTGTGTGGATGGACGCGAAAGCGGTAGCGACGGCATCGTTCCAACTTCTAGCGTTCATCCTTCATGTTGGAATCATGGATGAGGAGGCCGCGGAACGCTTGCTGGGAGTGCCCAGGCTTCATTGGCGGGGGCGGTCGACGGCACGCACGAGACAAGCTCGTAGATTAAACCCGATAGAACAACCAATCCCGAGCTCTGGAAGTTTAACTTAGAGAGCACGCCAGCTGGGGGAGACCCCAGCACGGCAACTCACGGCACCAAGGGTTCATATTTCTGCAACCGAGCCGTTCTCGAGAAGTCGATTTCTCGTTGGCGGATTAAATTGCCCATGCGGTACCATTGCGCTGGTGTCGCCCGACAATTTGTTCGAGGTGGATCGGCACGGAGATTGCGGGGTGGCTAGACTGGCAGTCGATCACAAAGACGCTTAGCTGCCACAAGGGGAATTCGGGCCTGGGCCGTTCCTGGGAGAGCTCGCCTGCAAAGAACCACAATGCAGGGGTTCGGATAAGTCGGCGAGTCAGACCCAACGAGCCTCGTAGCACTCTCATATCGAGCGCAAGGAAAAGGAGTGCGGGTGGATCGTCTGATGCGCACTTCCACGAAACATCTTGCTGAGAGCAAGCTAGGGTATGCTTGACAGGTCTTCATCCGAGTTTCTCTTGCCTCGCAAGTGAACGTTTGTTTTGTCAGCGCGATGTTGCACATTTGAGTGCGCCAGTGCCGCATTGAGGCTGTGTCGGAGGCTTCCCCCGCGTCTTGACACTTGGATGAGGAAAACGGTACTTGGGACGAATACCTTAATTCAATAGTGCCAAATACGATGCAACCCTTTTTGTTCTGTTCCCGTTCGGATCTATGTCCACGATTCCACGAATCATAATAAGAGGAGCCTATACGAGAATCAGACATTGGAGTCTGGACATCATGTTGTTCCGAGGGTAAATGTTTTACATTAAGGAGCAAACGCCCATCCACTTACACTGGACCAAAGATTTGGGCTTGAACTTCTGGACATTCTGATACGCTGCGAGTTGTCGACTCATACATGAGGTCTTCGAAAATAGATTGAAGAATGGCGTGAGCGCAATGTTTGGGCTTGTTGACTGGGTCTCCCAGACTCAAGTTCTTCATCTTCGATCAAAGCCCCTTGTTCATACTTACCCCATGAACCTTTCACTCGCAAGACCAAGCTGAGGCTTTTTGACCTTCTCTTACTTGGGCACAAATTGCAGCAGCCTGAGACTTCAGGTAGCCTCACTAAAGAGCAGGGGAGCATCGTATCAAACTCCTTATACGAAAAGGAGACGCCTGGTCGAGTGAAAATCTACCCAATACCAAGAAACGTTTGAAATTTTTGAAATTGCAAAACTCGACAATTCAACGAAAGTTTCGCCTTTGGTTGAAAGAACCTTCAGTGCCTTAGCTAACTCAAACAAGGATGTTGCGGGCCGAAGGAAGTTGGCGATCTCTTGGCATCGGACTTCCCTGTTCAGCAGTTCTTGGCACTTTGTCGAGATGGACCAAGCTCGATGCACAGCGAGGCAACCACCACAGCATTCAACATCTTCTCAGCAATTTATGTTCTGATTGAATTTCGTACTTCTGCGAATGGAGCAAGATTTGTTGTGGCGAAGGGAGTAAGTGATAGCTCGATGCGAAGTTCCACAAGCTCAGCATGTCATTACTCAGGTAAAGTGTGTTGTATGTACTTCGATGCAGGCAGGAATCACTCGTGTTCTGTATCTAATTGTGATCCCCTCATCTATCTCATAGATGCAAAATGAACGCTCGCTATGTATCCATGTAAACTTCAGACCCCATGTTTCCCTGAGCGCTATCAAAAGATAGTAGTCTCTTCCCACCCTTGTATGCTCTGTGGGCTGCTTGAAAAGGACTCATGTTGTCCTTCAAAAGGCGACAAGTCCGGAACGTATTCACACCCGAGGACCTCTTCGTGAACATATAAGGCATCCTCGGGTGTTCTCATGAAGAATCTCACTTTGAAGTTGCCGCCCATATCCACTCCATTGATGGAGGAGTCCCATAGCGTGCTCTTCTCCGGGACAAAATGTCTGATTCTCACTTCGTCACGTGGGATCCCAAGACATGATTCCGGTCCCGTGTATTGGAGCACGCCAAATGAGTCCAAACCCACGTTGTGCTCAAGCTCAATGAGTCGCCGGGCGATGCAAAATAGCTCGCCCTTATCCCATACCGCTTCTCGGGGTGATCCAAGTGTCGACAGTAGTCGAAGAGCCTCAAGGCGTACATCCAGCGCGCGGCATTTCGTTGCGATGAAGAATAATGAGGGCGTATATCCTGCTTCAAACAGAAAATGTGTCGGTTGGCAGTTGACTTGTGACTCAGCAAACTTGGTGGTTTGTTCGGTGATCTGACGGAATCGTTCCAAGTGCTGGTCAAAACCCGCCTCGTTTGCTGAAAAGGCCATGTCGGTCCAGACGTGGGACAGCTCGTATTTTAGTAGTGCATGAACTCTTGGCCCGCCTCTTATTCGGGTGCTTGGGGATTTCGACCTCACGTCCAAATCCTCCCACAACCCGCGCCATTGGTTTAGTGATGATTGAATGCCCCTTTGCCGCTCTAGTAACTCTCTCAGCGGTGTCTGATGTCGCAACGCGCCTACTCTATACTCGTCGCCGAGCCGTATAAGCTGTATCGTTTGGTTATAAAGGTCGTCTATTGTGGCTTGTGCGTGCGCAAAGCTGTCGAAAGAAGCCGGTACCGGACACCTGCAAATTGTTGCACCAGTATTGTTGAAATAGCTCGTCCCCGGGAAAGACGGAAGCATGTTCAGTCGTCGAAATATCGGTAGTAAGTGATCCCGTACAACCGGTTTTGAGCACGAGCTTTCCAACATCGCAAGTCCGTGATTGCAGTGTCTAACGGCAGCTTCCGTATTGGACTGTAACAACTCGATACAGACGAAAAGTAGACAGACCACCAACGCTAGCCCGTTATTGTCGTTTTGTAGCGATTTCAGTTCAAAAATTGCGGCGTTGTAGTGGCTCAGTGCCACGCCGTCTAGGTGAGTATTAGTGCCGCCATTCATGTTGCCGTACAACAAGCCGATGGCGATGACTGAGTGCTTGACGGCCGGCTCGCGGTTAATAAACTGCACGACCAGATGGGTCCAGAAATAAGGGTCGGTCGGGCCTGCGATGAAGGGTGCGACATGTTCGCAGTAGTACTGTAATGCCCTGGCTTCTTCACCGCTGGTTGACGAGTCGATCTGGAGTGTTTGAGGTCGTTGCCATCGAAGCACCGATGCCGGTTCAACCGCATATCCGTCGCACTTTCGGCCTGTGCTGGTACAGCGGTTGCAGAAAGGCTTGCCCTCGTCACACTTGATCTTGCGTATCCTGTACTTATGTAATTAGCATAGGCCACACCGGTGGTCACAGACCAGTTCCTCATGATGCGACTCACTTGCAAGTTAAGCAACCAGTCCGCACCTTGCGACTTCCCTTTCTAGCCATTGGTTCAAGCCGTTTGTGGATGTGCGCTAACGATGGTTGAGTCCGAACGAGCCCTTAGGGTCTGACGCGTGAGCGATTGGTGACCTCGCAACCTCCTTTTGCCTTTCTGGGCGCAAAAGACAAGTGGAATCTGCACGATTACGATTCTCCAAGTTCCTCGATGTCTAGATATAAAAATGACAGCCGGAGATTGCGGTATCGCCAGCACGTCCAGACCTCTCCGGAGCGGTGTCTACGCTGGTTCGCCCATCTTAACCAATCCGAATCGTAGCTCAGCATTCGCCTAGGAAAACATCAGCGCAGCCCTGTCGTTCATGTGGAGGGCATTTGCAGAACACCACCCTTCGCCCGCATAAGCCCTCTGAAGGGGCAGAGACATTCCGTAGGGGGCGGTGGGGTTGACAGGGGATATATCCGACAGAGCCAATCAGTCTTGCTTTCACTGGCGGGGCCGTCGCATTTCTGGAGGCAGGTTTCCTCGAAGTGCATACACTAGCTCGCCGCGATCAACTCTTGGGTGGTACTCGATCTTAGATACCTGACTTAGAGTTAGCGGCGCCACAGAAATGAGGGCGGTCAGTGGCTGAATAGACGATGTTTACCGTTGCGCATCACGTATTGGGCCGCGTACAACCAACTGAATGAAACGACCGTACGCACATGTCCGTAGGCCAAGGACTTGAAGAACCTGGTAGAAGACCGATTCCGCTTCATAACCCACTATTACACGCGCAAGCTTGCCTTGCAAGTTCCACTCAGCCCATACCACCAATGCTGCTTTTTCACCCGTCACGACGCCAAGATTCTGAACGCTACTTACCTTGCAGTGAGATAACACCATCTCTGTGGTTCATCCCACCCGGCTTGCACCCTGTCGTTGAAGGAACCCATGCGCCTACCAACGACCTTAAGCCACATGGTACGCAGAGCCTAGCTCGCGCGCCCAGTGAAGCAAAAGTGCACGCAGGTTGCCATGAAGTTTCATCATCCGACGTGACGGGTTCATCAAGAGTGCAATCCCTACCGGGCTGGACTCCCACCTCATGCGCGTGTTCCACTGTCAGCCGTTAAACCATGCAACCTCGGCACCTCCATCGGGATCTCAGCCACTCTCATTCGACTGATCAGCCCCTTCCTTCTCGCTGATTCGTAGAAATAAACGCAGCATGCACAGCACCTCGATAAAACCGGGCTCAATGCGGACTCCGCAGGTTGCGGAATAGGTTTTAGGCAGCTTCGACATGCCATGGAAGTCTGGTAGAATCCAGAATCCCATCCCGCGATTGCTAGGGCTGGCCAGTAGGGTGGCGGTTCCAGATCAGTCATACAATCTAAATAAATCTTGCATATGACTAAGGTAA